TCACCAGTGACTCACGGCCTACCCGTACCTGTACCCAGCCGCACCAGGGTCGCAAACGGGTACCGGGTAGGGTACGTGGTATCAGGTACCCCGGTTGCGACCTCTGCTGGGGAAGTCGGAGATCGGACCGCCGTTCTGTCCCCCTAATGATGGCGATAGGTGTGACGCTGCAGGTTACTTTTGTGATGCAGTTCAAGAGCGATTTGTTAACGCGGGCCCATTGGGGCAGACTCCCAATCCACCACCACCACGTCCACCTCAACCAATTTCATCTCCAACTCCTCCATCACCTCCTCCTCTGCTTTCTCCCCGTTCACCAGTCACTGTTCAGAGTTTGGTAGTCTGAGAGATTCAGAAATTTGATGGAGTTGTTTATGGCCGGACGCTTCAGGTGAATCTTCATCTCCGGCTCTCTCCTCTCGGAAGCTGTGGGGGAGAGAGAGCGACATAAGGGAGAGATAAGGGAGAGTTAAGGGAGAGATAAGGGAGATAAGTCGGTGTTTAGTTTGTTTGTCCTGAGCTAATAGGTTAGTAGGTGAGTGAGTGGGTGAGTGACTAGGTGGGTGAGTGAGTGAGTAGGTGGGTGAGTGAGTAGGTGAGTGAGTGAGTAGGTGAGTGAGTCAGTAGGTGAGTAGGTGAGTGAGTGAGTAGGTGGGTGATTGAGTAGGTGAGTGAGTGAGTAGGTGAGTAGGTGATTGGATGAGTGAGTAGGTGAGTGAGTAGGTGGGTGAGTGAGTAGGTGAGTAAGCGGATGAGTGAGTGAGTGAGTAGGGTGAGTGAATGAAGTGAGTGGGGCAGTGAGTAGTTGGGTGATTGAGTAGGTGAGTGTGTGAGTGAATAGGTGAGTAGGTGAGTAAGTGACTGAGTAGGTGAGTATAGACTGACTGAGTGGGTGAGTGGGTGATTGCGTCAATGAGTGGGTGAGTGAGTGGGTGAGTGAGTGGGTGAGTGTGTGAGCGAGTGGGTGGGTGAGTGAGTGGGTGAGTGAGTATGAGTGTGTTGGTGAGTAACTGAGTGGGTGAGTTGGTGAGTGTGTGAATGTATGGGTGGATGTTAACTACCTCGGCTGTACGCAGGAGGTCGTGGGTTCGATCCCAGACCCGAATGCTCATGGTGGCTATGAGATGTTCACTACCTCGCCTGCTACGCAGGAGGTCGTGGGTTCGATTTTGAGATGTTCACTACCTTGCCTGGTATTCAGGAGGTCGCGAGTTCGATCCCGGACCCTGACAATGCCTCCCACTGTACGTTTGGAGTCTGCATCGCTCTCACCCGTGGCGGTCACAGCGTGGATTCGATCTCCAGGTCCTCATCCGGATTTTTACCCCCTCCAAATTTAGAATTGGCATCACCGTGCATTCAGCTGCATTTGACTGCTCTGATATGTCTGCCTTACCTGGTACAATAAAACATATAGTGTTGCTGTAGTGTGGGCCTCTGTGGGTCTATATTGGTCTATGTGGGTCTCTATGGGTCTCTGTGGGCCTCTATGGGCCTCTATGGGCCTCTATGGGTCTCGGTGGGTTTCTGTGGGTTTCTGTGGGTCTCTGTGGGTCTCTGTGGGTCTCTGTGGGCCTCTATGGGTCTCGGTGGGTTTCTGTGGGTTTCTGTGGGTCTCTATGGGTTTCTGTGGGTTTCTGTGGGTTTCTGTGGGTTTCTGTGGGTTTCTGTGGGTCTCTGTGGGCCTCTGTGGGTTTCTGTGGGTCTCTGTGGGCCTCTATGGGTCTCGGTGGGTTTCTGTGGGTTTCTGTGGGTCTCTATGGGACTTTGTGGGTCTCCGTGGGTCTATGTGGGTTCTCTGTGGATCTTTGGGTGTCTATGAATGACTATGGGTCTCTGTCGGTCTATACAAGTTGCTGGATCTCTGTGGGTCTCTGTGTGGTCTCTGTGGGTATCTGTGGGTCTATGGGTCTCAGTGGGTCTATGGGTCTCTATAGGTCTCTGTGGGTCTCTATCGGTCTCTATGGCTCTCGGCTGTGCATCTCTGGGGGTCTCAGGGGGTCTCTACGGGTCTCTGTGGGTCTCTGTGGGTCTCCGTGGGTCTCCGTGGGTCTCTATCGGTCTCTATGGGTCTCAGTAAATATCTGTGTGTTTCTGTAGGTCTCTATTATTCTATAGGATTATCTGAATCTCCAAGGATCTCTGTGTTACCACCTGGTAACATGAACACAGCTTAATTTTGGTTTAGCACTTTACTTAAAACAAATTAAATTAAACTCTTTGGTTATTTCGGTAAAGTCATGAGTCTATGTTGTGTATCTCTCTCTGCTTGTGTGTCTGTCTGTGTGTCTCTGTGTGTCTCTCTCTGCTTGTGTGTCTGTCTGTGTGTCTCCGTGTCTGTGTTTTGTCTCTCTCTCAAATTTAGTTCTACCCAATGGCGGTTGCTTGTGTTGCAATCAAAACTTCGCAATCGATTATTAAATATATTTTCTTTCCACGTGACTTTACCGACTGAACCAAAGAGTAATTCCTGCAGTCACGAAAGCTTCAAATCAAGATTGAAAGTAGAGCAATGTCTTGAACTACCACCAGGCATACTCACAGTGAAACCTTGGTAGAACGATTGGATTCAAACCGGTGCTGCTGATCCCCTTCTGTCAGACAGAGCGGGGAGGAGAGAGGGGAGAGGAGGGAGGGAGAAAGACGACAATGACGATGATACACAACACACTATACACTACACTACACACTATACGATACACTATACTATACACTACACTATACACTACACACTACACTACACAGTACACTACACTATACACTACACTATACTAGACACTATACACTACACACTATACACTATACTATACACCACACTATACACTACACTATGCACTACACACTATACACTACACTATACACTACACTATACACTACACACTACACACTACACTATACACTACACTATACACTACACTATACACTACACATTACTATACACTAGACTACACTATACACTACACTATACACTACACACTACGCTACACTACACACTACTATACACTAGACTACACTATACACTACACTATACACTACACTATACACTACACTACACTACACACTACACTACACTATACACTACACTATTCACTACACTATACACTACACTATACACTACACTACACACTACACAGTACACTACTATACACTACTACAATACGCTCCAAAATGCACTAAACTATACACTACACTATACACTTTCACTACACTATACACTACACTATACACTTTCACTACATTACACACTACACTATACACTACACTATGCACTTCATGGATGTCTCTGTGAGCCAATCGCGACAGCACCACAACTCACCGATTTCTGTGCACCTAGTCCAAGCTTCTTCTTCAGCTCCTTGCGAACCTGGACAGAGAGGTGGAGAGAGGATTAGACATTAGTGTCTATGGGTCTCTGTGTGGTGGTGATGAGTCTATGGGTCTCTGTGTGGTGGTGATGAGTATATGGGTCTCTGTGTGGTGGTGATGAGTCTCTGGGTATCTGTGTAGTGGTGGTGAGTCTATGGTTCTCTGTGTGGTGGTGAGTCTATGGGTCTCTGTGTGGTGGTGATGAGTCTCTGGGTATCTGTGTAGTGGTGGTGAGTCTATGGGTCTCTGTGTGGTGATGAGTCTATGGGTCTCTGTGTGGTGGTGATGAGTATATGGGTCTCTGTGTGGTGGTGAGTCTATGGGTCTCTGTGTGGTGGTGATGAGTCTATGGGTCTCTGTGTGGTGGTGAGTCTATGGGTCTCTGTGTAGTGATGAGTCTATGGGTCTCTGTGTGGTGGTGAGTCTATGGGTCTCTGTGTGGTGATGAGTCTATGGGTCTCTGTGTGGTGGTGAGTCTATGGGTCTCTGTGTGGTGATGAGTCTATGGGTCTCTGTGTGGTGATGGTGAGTCTATGGGTCTCTGTGTGGTGATGAGTCTATGGTTCTCTGTGTGGTGATGAGTCTATGGGTCTCTGTGTGGTGGTGATGAGTCTGTGGGTCTCTGTGTGGTAGTGATGAGTCTATGGGTCTCTGTGTGGTGGTGATGAGTCTATGGGTCTCTGTGTGGTGGTGATGAGTCTGTGGGTATCTGTGTAGTGGTGGTGAGTCTATGGGTCTCTGTGTGGTGGTGAGTCTATGGGTCTCTGTGTGGTGGTGATGAGTCTGTGGGTATCTGTGTAGTGGTGGTGAATCTATGGGTCTCTGTGTAGTGATGAGTCTATGGGTCTCTGTGTGGTGGTGAGTCTATGGGTCTCTGTGTGGTGATGAGTCTATGGGTCTCTGTGTGGTGATGGTGAGTCTATGGGTCTCTGTGTGGTGATGAGTCTATGGGTCTCTGTGTGGTGATGAGTCTATGGGTCTCTGTGTGGTGGTGATGAGTCTGTGGGTCTCTGTGTGGTAGTGATGAGTCTATGGGTCTCTGTGTGGTGGTGATGAGTCTATGGGTCTCTGTGTGGTGGTGATGAGTCTGTGGGTCTCTGTGTGGTAGTGATGAGTCTATGGGTCTCTGTGTGGTGGTGATGAGTCTGTGGGTCTCTGTGTGGTAGTGATGAGTCTATGGGTCTCTGTGTGGTGGTGATGAGTCTATGGGTCTCTGTGTGGTGGCGAGTCTATGGGTCTCTGTGTGGTGATGAGTCTATGGGTCTCTGTGTGGTGGTGAGTCTATGGGTCTCTGTGTGGTGGTGATGAGTCTCAGGGTATCTGTGTAGTGGTGGTGAGTCTATGGGTCTCTGTGTGGTGGTGAGTTTCTGGGTCTCTGTGTGGTGATGAATCTATGGGTCTATGTGTGTACATGTCTATACAAGTGTAATGCGAGCGTAAATGGGGTTGCTGCTGGACTCTGGCCCAATCACAGGACCTGGGGTATTGGGGGCGGAGCCCGGTATGGGGGGCGTGTGGGAGGGGCCGCCGTTCACCTCGGCAGCTCCAATGGGAAGCGAGGTGAATGGAGGTGGAGCCAGCAGGGCAGTATGGGAAGGCCGGATCTGACGATCCGGAAGGGAGGAGTCAGGGTCACGTGGGAGAGAGGTTATAGGGGGGAGCCCGGAAGAGATCGGGGCCATCTTCTTGGTTCTTTCGGTAAAGTCACGTAGAAGGAAAGTAATAAAATAATAAAAATAAAACTCAATAAAATAAAATAATTTTCACGACGTTTCAGCTACAACGCAAGCAGCCGTCTTCAGGTGAAGAATGAGACACTGCCAAGCTAGGAGCTTATATATACGCTGGGTTGGAGGTGCAAGAAGAGCGCCTTAACGCATTTTCCATGAATATGCTAAATTCCTCTTGATATGCACATTATTTTTGTTAAGGCGCTCTTCTTGCACCTCCAACCCAGCTTATATATAAGCTCCTAGCTTGGCAGTGTCTCATTCTTCACCTGAAGACGGCTGCTTGCGTTGTAGCCGAAACGTCGTGAGAATTATTTTATTATGTTTTATTTTTATTATTTTATTATTTCCCTTCTACGTGACGACTTTACCGAAAGAACCAAGAAGATGAATCCCTGCAGTCACGAAAGAAGCTTTACATCGAGATCAGGGCCAGTTGATGGAGTGAAGAAGCGGGACCACGTTGGGTGGCCGCCGCGCCATCAGCCACGTGGCTGATGGGGCTTTGGCACACCGTCGGAGACGCTGGTCCCTTGTCAGGTGGTCCTGACAAGGAGACGCTGGTCCCTTGTCAGGACCAGCGGGGTGTGAGGACGAGTGGAGGAGCTGAGGAGGGAGCGCGTGTGCGCGGGGCGCGCGTGAGACAACGCTGGTTCGTGGAAGAGGCCAGCGGGGTGCGGAGAAGAACTTGAATAAAAGGCAAGCGGAGACCAGCAGTGCCTGACGGAGTCTTTTATTACACTGGAGTCAGAAGTGGAACGAGATGTCAAAACATCTCAAGAAAAGGAATATACCTGCACCATCTTCAGAAGACGAAGAGAACCTTCCTCCGGCGGTGGGGGTCCCGACCATGGAAGGCGTGGGCAAAGTGGCGGCGAGCGACACGACAGGAGTACGAGATGTCGTCAGGGCGGCCGGGCCGTCTGCGTCGACGGGCGCCGAGGACGGCTGGCGCCACGTGGCAGTCCAGCTTGATTCGCTGCGGGCCGTTCTGCTGGATTTCGTCACCCTGGTGGCGCCAGCGATGATGCCGGATCGGCCACGCGGCGGGCCTTCGAGCGGGGAGCCTTCGGGTGGGGCGGAGCCGTCCGCCATTGGGGCCTCTGCGACGCTTCCCGCCCTCTCCGACACGTGGCAGGACGCCGCCATTTTGGGTGTGGTCGCGGACGAACGGCTGGAAGCCGCCATCTTGTCGCCGCCGCGACGGGAAGCTGCCCCCATCTTGAACATCGCGGCGAAGAGGCGGCCGTGCGCTGCCATCTCGGAGGCGCCGCGTGGTGTGCATCCTGCTGCTGAGCAGCTGTTTTGCGGGAAGGAGCCGCAAGGAGAGGGCGCCGACGCTGCTGCTGCCGTGGCGGGAGCACCCCCGTCCTGGCTCATGTGCAAGACACCGGAGCAGTCGCGGAAGGACGTCGCGCTCACCGTCCGAGTTCTTCGAGGCGTCTCAAGTCACCACCCTGCCGTCCTCTGCTCGCCGCCGCCCCGGGCGAGTCGTGACGGTGTGTTGTCTGCCTGCAGCTCTGCTTGCGATTGTGCATAATGTACGACCTGTGTGGAACTTTGCTGCTTGTAATCGCGATATGCTGACTGCACGTACTGCATAGACTGTCTTTCTGTATGGATACGGAGTGGAGTGCATTGTTTGACCATTGGGTTCGGGATTGTTATTAGTTGTGCGTACCTGTTCGGAAATTGGTCAATTCGGGGGGGACCCTCAAATTTGGTTGTATGGGTGTTCGTGCACACGAGATTGCATGTGTGTTCATAGGAAATTGCGAGTGTTGAGGGATGAGGGCGTTGTTGGTGGCTCTGCCGTCAAGGGTGATGTGGCCGTAAATTGCTACCAAGTGGCGTCGCTCTTTCCGTTGATTGCATGCGGCCAGGGGTTGCATTGCGAGTTGGTGTGTATGAGCAATGTGTCTTGGTCAACAGTGGGTAAAAAATTCCCCCGATACGACTGCTGTGCGCAGCGAGCTGCGACTATGCGTCGTATCGTTGGGGGTTGTTAACACGTGACAGGGGATGTGTGTTGTGACCCCCAGCAATGGGCAGCTGGGGTGCACGCATGGGGAAATCTGCCGACGTGGTCGCACGTTGGGCCGCCATTTTGGCTAGCGCGGGAAATCGCGGGGATGCGCTTGGCGCAGGGGGCCGCCATTTTGTGCGTGCGGGGGAAAACCTCGGTGGGGCGCTTCGCGCGTGCCGCCGCTATTTTGAGTATACACGTCGAGCCGCGGGGATGCGGTTACGGATATCGTCCCTTGACTCTCGTGTTGCGCTCTAACTTGTGTGCGTGCGTTGCGTGTTGTGCGCAATGCTGGCGTGTTGGCGCCCATCGGGGTAACAGGAGCATAGTGGCCCGTGTCTGACTACATTGCACCAGCATTTTAGGACAAAGATGCTGGCTGGGTTCTATTCTGGGGGAAATATTTCACCAGTATACGCCTGCCATTGTTGAGTGGGTGATGCAGAGTTGTGGTCACATCGGCCTATGGCCGATGGCTGACCTGACAGCCCGGAGGCGAGACACTCCGTGGTATGTCTCAAACTATTGGGCCATGTGCTCATATGGCTCGGGGAGTCGGGGTTCCGTCATGCGGTGGCAGACTGTGAACCTGGTGGGCCGGGGGCTCACGGAATTCAGGAGTAGAGGTTTCGTTACGTTGCAGCGAACGGGGAGACCTGGCTCACATGGGGCGGGGATTCCCCTTGTGGGTCCTCCAGCGGGAAGGGACGCGGACTTGTTTCCGCTCTGGGTTATGACGTTATTGAATGTATAGGGGAACTAGTCCTGCAGATCCTATTCAGGGATATGGATATTGTGGGGGTTCAAGCGATTGGAATATGGCCTAGGTTAGCGGAATGCGACGGGTCCGGGGTGATTGCTAGGACGGCAGTGAGGACACATGCTAAACAGCGGGTTCAGCCTATTGGTGAAAGTAATCCTAAGTTGTTCAGAATGCGTGTTGGGGAGTGCGACTCAATATCGTCAAGATGTTGGCGAGGGAACATTGCCCCGTGGGGGGGGGGGGTCGATGGGGTCTGGCCTTGCCAAGGGATGAACCTTCCCTTGTCTGTAAAGCATCAGACTATAAGATGCTGGGGTGTGTCCATTGGTGATGGGATAGTACGGGATGGAGCGTGGCTGAGTCGTTGCCATGTGCCATTGTCTCGTCCCCGAAATTGCACTGGCCGAGTGTATGGCCAGTCGACGTTGCTGTGGTTGGACGACCACGGTGCGGGCGAAGGCAAGTAAAATGTTGCCGCTGGGGAGCGTAGCTCTCTCCACGCGAGGGTATGCGGCCGGGGGCTGTGTTGAGAGTGACAGTGGGTAGATGCTGTGTACGTGAGATGTCTGTGCTGGTCCTCAAGGGAGGACTGCTGATGGGCAAGAGCAGGAACATTTTTGTTGTCACGTGTAAATAATATTTTTTAGTTAAAATGTAAATACTGGGACATCCAGCGCATCGATTTTTGGGTATTTATTGCGGTTCTCCTTACGGGGGGCGGATTTAGATCATCTCCACTACCCTGGGGCCGGGTTGCTGTCGTGTACGACATGCGGATGTGCGTTTCGTTGTGCTGTGCCTCAGGGGGTTGGGTTCTCCTTCTCGTCACAGATCTTCGGCGCCTGCCACACTGGGTGTTACCGGTTGTGCTAACCGGATGTGGACTTGAAGGGGGAGTGGAGCGCCTGTTCGTCACTCCTGCTCTACCAGTTGCTCTCTGAAGTTGGACTTGAGCCAGGCGGTTGGACCAGCAACACGGACACGCTCTAAGACACCGCATTCCTGGTTTTTGCGCGTCGGCCGTTCTTGCGTGTCGGTTACCGTTGTTGTGTATTGCTTTCCATTCCTTAACTCTTTCTTGCTTGTTGTGCGGAGGACGGGCCGGTGTTCCGTACCGGATCCAGATCCCTTCCCTTTCGTTAATTGTGTTGTCGTTGTACTTTCCGTTGGGTCTGGGGTGATTCCTGATTGAGATGCCGTCGCTCGCATTATTTTATCCTGTTGCAGCCGGGACGGCTGGATTTTTCATCAGCGAGCGTAAATGGGATTCTGCTGGACTCTGGCCCAATCACACGACCCGGGTATTGGGGGCAGAGCCCGGTATGGGGGGCGTGTGAGAGGGGCCGCCGTTCACCTCGGCAGCTCCAATGGGAAGCGAGGTGAATGGAGGTGGAGCCAGCAGGGCAGTATGGAAAGGCCGGATCTGACGATCCGGAAGGGAGGAGTCAGGGTCAAGTGGGAGAGAGGTTATAGAGGGGAGCCCGGAAGAGATCAGGGCCAGTTGATGGAGTGAAGAAGCGGGACCACGTTGGGTGGCCGCCGCGCCATCAGCCACGTGGCTGATGGTGCTTCGGCACACCGTCGGCCAGCGGTGTGCGCAGCGGGGAGGAGCGGAGCGACTAACGGGAGAGCGCGTGCGGGGCGCGCGTGAGAAGGAGCTGACGGAGGAGCGTGCGGGGCACGCGAGAGGAGACGCTGGTCCGTGGAAGAGGCCAGCGGGGTGCGGAGAAGAACTTGAATAAAAGGCAAGCGGAGACCAGCAGTGCCTGACGGAGTCTTTTATTACACATGTGTGAAGGTGAGTCTATGGGTCTCTGTGTGAGTCTATGGGTCTTTGTGTAGTGGTGGTGTGTCTATGGGTCTCTGTGTAGTGATGCATCTATGGGTCTCTGTGTGTACATGTCTATAACAAGAGTGAAGTGTCTATAGGTGAGTGAATTGTCTTCCCTTACCTCTTTGTCGAGGAGGCAGTTAAAGATCAAGATGAAGAGGCCCTGGGGGCGAGAAGAACAAAGACAAAGGTCCCCCGCGTAGCATTAACAGACCGTAGTGGCAAGTACTGCTAGCGTAGCGTGTGGCACACAGAGGCGCACACGCTGACTTGGAGGTGATGTATGTATATCACACCTGCCGGGTACTAGTCTATTGATGGCCTTAATCTAATAGTAGTAGGTTTTTACCCTTTCAACTGGTACAAAACTGACACCTTTATACAAGGCATCATGTTTGCAATAACCGCAACACAAGCAGTCAAAATGCAATCACGTTCGCACACGCGACCCAACCCCCAACGCGACAGCGCAAATCAACAACAACAACAACCACAAACAACAACCTACAATTCTAGATTTGAAGCTTTCGTGACTGCAAGGATTCATATTCTTAGGTTTTTTCGGTAAATTCACGTAGGTAAAAAAATTAACAACTCTTGGAACCTCCGAATTCAACCAGTCTACACTACAAAGGATCATTGCTAACAGCGTGCTTCAGCCGCACCGAACCTCACAATATTATTAATATCCAAGGCCTACCTTGACTCCTCCCACCCTCAACCAGTATATATACAAGGACTGTTTTCTTGGGATGTCTCTTTACTTGATACAGCAATCATGCTGTGACGGTTCCACCTGAAGACGGATGCTTGTGTTGCCTCTGAAACGTCGTGATTTTTTTTTACTTTTATTAATTTTAATTTTAATTTTCTACCCACGGTGACTTCACCGAAAAAACCCCCCACAAACAACAACCTACAACAGCAACTTCCCACACCTGCAGCGAGTTGAGGATGGCGAAGAGGTAGTGCAGCGCGAGGCTGGCCCTGCCCTCGGCGCTGAACGCGAAGATCCCAAGCCCCCACGTGACCCCGAGCAGCGGCGTGAGCACCCCGACGCTCCGAGCGACCAGCCGGACGTTCACGTCGGGGCTCACCGAGAAGCCGGCGCCCACGGACCTCCTCCGCGCCACCGTGTTCACGACGACCGCGAGCGCGGCGATGTTGGCGGCGAGCACGGCGAAGGCTGGCACCACGAAGGCGAGCAGCGTCCTGCCGCGCTCCCAGTCGAGCCAGCAGGCTCCGTCGCGCAGGTAGGCCCCGCGTGGGTACGTCGCCGCTACGGCCACCGCGGCGATGACCGCCGGGGCCCCGTAGCCGACGGCGAAGGCCGCGGCGCGAAGGCTTCGGGCGGCGAAGCGTTCGAAGACGACGACGACGACGTAGACGAGGAGGAGGCCTTCGCAGAGCATCCAGAAGAAGAGGGCCAGGTAGCCGAGGTGGACGAAGAAGGCGGCGGCCGTGCAGAGCGCGGGGCTGGCGAGGGCGGCGGGAGAGGCGGCCACGATGAACCAGACGTCGGCGAAGAGGAGCGACGTGCACACGTTGACCAGGATGAGGTGGCGGAGGCGCGTGTTGGAGCGCCGGGAGGCGCGGCCGCTGGACACCGACGGGCGCCAGGTGATGGCCTCGATGGCGAGGACGGCCACCAGGGACGCGATCGAGAGGCCGACGCCGACGTAGGAGATGATCGAGAGGGTCGGGTCGTTCACTAGGTCGTCGCCGGGGGAGATGAGGATGGAGAAGGAGGTGGTGTGGTTGCAGCGGCAGGAGAAGGACGTCGCGTTGTCGGTGGGGACGGTGGGCGTCAGCTGGCAGCCTACGCCCGACCAGCCGCCCCGCCCGTTGTTATACTGGGGGGTGGGCAGGGCCAGGAGGGGGGGCAGGGGGGGGAAAGGGGGCGGGGCAAGGCGGGCATGAGGCACGGCAACGATACGAGAGCCCGACGGGGTGGCTAGATAGACGTTGACGACCTCGCCTGGTACGCAGGAGGTCGTGGGTTCGACCACTTACCCTGACGCCCCACGCTGGCTAGGAGATGTTTACTACCTCGCCTGGTACACGGTGGCGTCATGGTCGGGATCGAACCCACGACCTCCTGCGTACCAGGCGAGGTCGTCAACGTCTACCTAGCGTGTACCGTGTGTGTCGTCATGCCCCCCACACCACCCACCACCACCACCCCCACCAACACCCCCACCAACACCACCCCCCACCACCACACCCACCCCCACCACCACACCCACCCCCACCACCACACCCACCCCCACCACCACCACCACCCCCACCACCACCAACACCACCCCCACCACCACCCCCCACCACCACACCCACCCCCACCACCCACACCCACCCCCACCACCACACCCACCCCCACCACCACCACCACCCCCCACCACCACCAACACCACCCCCACCACCACCCCCACCACCACCCCCACCACCCTCCACCCCCACCACACCCACCACACCACCCACCACCCCACCAACACCCCACACCCACCACCACCACCACCCCCACCACCAACACCATCACCCACCACCCCCCACACACCCACCCACCACCACCACCACCACCCCCACCCACCACCACCCCACCACACCACCCCCACCACTCCCACCACCACCACCACACCACCCCACCACCACCACCACCCCCCACCACCCCCACCCACCACGCCCTCACCACCCCCACCACCACCCCACCACCACCCCCACCACCACACCCCCACCAACACCACCACCCCACCAACACATCACCAACACCACACCCACCACCACACCCACCACCCCACACCACACCCCCCCACCCCCCCACCCCCACCACCACCACCCCCACCACCACACCCCCCCACACCACCACCCCCACCACCACCCCAACACCACCACCCCCACCACCACCACACCACCACCACCCACCACCACCACCCCACCACCCCACCACCCCACCACCAGCCCACCACCTCCACCACCACCCCACCACCACCACCACCACCACCACCCCACCACCCCCACCACCTCCAACACCACCAACCCCCACCACCTCCACCACCACCCCCACCACCCACCACCACCCACCACCACCCCACCACCCCCACCACCACACCACCACCACCCCCACCACCCCCACCACCAGCCACCACCACCACCAACACCACCACCACCACCCACCACCACCCCCACCACCACCACCACCTCCAACCACCACCCCCACCACCACCACCACCACCACCCCCACCACCCCACCACCTCCACCACCACCACCCCCACCACCACCCACCACCTCCACCACCACCCCCACCACCACCACCACCACCACCCCCAACCACCCCCACCACCTCCACCACCACCCCCACCACCACCACCACCACCACCCCCACCACCCCCACCACCCCCACCCCACCACCAACACCCCCACCACCCCCACCACCACCACCACCACCCCCACCACCACCACCCCCACCACCACCACCACCACCCCACCACCCACCACCTCCACCACCACCACCCCCACCTCCCCCACCACCTCCAACACCACCACCCCCACCACCCCCACCACCTCCACCACCACCCCACCACCACCACACCCACCACCACCACCACCACCACCCCCACCACCCCCCACCACCACCACCACCACCCCCACCACCCCCACCACCTCCACCACACCACCAACACCACCACCACCACCACCACCCCCACCTCCACCACCCCCACCACCACCACCACCACCACCACCCCCACCTCCACCACCCCCACCACCCCCACCTCCACCACCCCCACCACCACCACCCCCACCACCACCACCACCACCACCCCCACCTCCACCACCCCCACCACCCCCACCTCCCCACCCCACCCACCACCACCACCACCCCACCACCACCCCCCCACCACCACCCCACCACCACCACCACCACCCACCACCACCACCACCCCACCACCACCACCACCACCCCACCACCCCACCACCACCACCACCACCCCCACCACCCCCACCACCACCACCACCACCCCCACCACCCCCCACCACCACCACCCCACCACCCCCACCACCTCCACCACCACCCCCACCACCACCACCACCACACCCCACACCACCCCCACCACCTCCCACACCACCCCCACCACCACCACCACCCCCACCACCCCCACCACCCCCACCCCCACCACCAACACCCCCACCACCCCCACCACCACCACCACCACCCCCACCACCACCAACCCCCACCACCACCACCACCACCACCCCCACCACCTCCACCACCACCACCCCCACCTCCCCCACCACCTCCAACACACCACCACCCCCACCAACCCCCCACCTCCACCACCACCCCCACCACCCACCCCCACCACCACCACCACCACCACCACCACCCCACCACCCCACCACCACCCACCACCACCCCCCCCCACCCCCCACCACCTCCACCACCACCACCAACCCACCACCACCACCAACCACCACCCCACCTCCACCACCCCACCACCACACCAACCACCATCCCCACCTCCACCACCCCCCCACCCACACCCCCACCTCCACCACCCCCACCACCACCACCCCCACCACCACCCCCACCACCACCACCCCCACCATCCACCACCCCCACCCCACCACCCCCACCTCCACCACCCCCACCACCACCACCCCCACCACCCCCACCTCCACCACCCCCACCACCACCACCACCACCACCACCCCCACCACCACCACCACCCCCACCTTTGTGTCCCAGAAGGTGCAGTTGACGACGTTGCCGCTGCCATTGATGGCCACCGTGAGCGGGAAGCGCAGGACGATGTCCGTGACGCCCGTCCCGTTCCTCGGGTTGCTCACGACGGTGCTGAGGATGTGGCTCCGCACGGAGCCAGCGGAGCCAGCGCCGCTGCCGTTCAGGTCGGGGGTCAGCCGGAGGGGCAGGACTTCAGCCAGAGTCCTGTACGCCCCGCCCACACGCCCCACACACAGACACACGCATGCACACACACAGACACACAGACACATACATACACACACACACAGACACACACAGACACACACACACACACAGACACATACATACACACACACACACAGACACACACAGACACACACACACACAAAGACACATACATACACACACACACAGACACATACATACATACACACACAGACCCACACACATAAACAAAGAGACAAAGATCCCCCGTATAGCCTTAACAGACTGTAGGGGCAAGTGCTGTTAGCGAGCACCTATGTAGTGACATAGGACGTCACTACTGTGTCGGCCCGTACGAGGGCTGGGGCCCCAAGGGGGTGCTGGGGGATTACGTGGTGGAGGGTCCCGGACCTTCCCAGAGGTGGGGAAAGGGAGGCGTGGCCTGTGAGTGAGTGGCCGAGTGGCTGAGCGAGTGAGTGGCTGAGCGAATGAGTGGCTGAGCGAGTGAGTGGCTGAGTGAGTGAGCGAGCGAGTGGCTGAGTGAGTGGCTGAGTGTGCGTGAGTGAGTGAGTGGGTAAGTGGGTGAGTGAGCGAGTGGCTGAGTGAGTTAGTAGATGAGTGAGCGAGCGACTCACGTGAAGAGCATGCTCACGACGTAGGTGCCGCTGCCGCCGCCGTCGTTGGTGACGTTGTTCAGCTGCTCCTCACCGATCGTCACTGCAGTCTCCCCGGCGACTCCGTCGCCCGCGAACACCTTGGAGTAGTTGCCCCCCTGGGCGGCGCCGGCGCTGGCGAGGACGGTGCCCAGCAGCTGCACGTTGGCGCTGGTGATGTTGAACGTCGACGGGACTTCGGCACCGGCACCTTCGGGGGGGGGGGGGGGGAGGAAAATCGGTGAGCGGGAGGAGAGGGAGGGGGGGTGGAGGAGGAACGTGCAGGAGATGGTGACTGCCTCGCCTGGTAGGCAGGAGGTCGTGGGTTCGATGTTGAGATGTTGACAACATCGCCTGGTTTACAGGAGGTCGTGGGTTCGATGTTAACTGCCTCGCCTGGTTTACAAGAGGTCGTGGTTTCAATCCCGGACCCTAAAACCACGGTGGCTAGGAGATGTTAACTACCTTGCCTGGTATGCAGGAGGTCGTGGGTTC